CGTTCCAGTCTCTGCCTCTGTCTGCAGGTGGGCTTTGCCTCTCTGTGTGAGTCTCAACCTCCCTCTCCCTTCCTCCTATAAAGACACCTGTCATTGGATTTGGACCTACCCTAACTCCAGGGTGACTTCACCTTGAGATCCTTAAGAATTGCGTCTGCAAAGACCCTTTTTTCAAATAAGGTCACTTTCCTGGTCCTAAAGGTTAGGCCATGGGCCTACCTGTTTTGGGGGCTGCCATTCAACCCATGACACTGGTCTGTAGGTTCTGCAGGATGGCGTCAAATTTTGCTTGCCCCTGGCCTCAGGACCCAGTGCCTGGGCGTGGCAATTTGTCGATTCTGGCTGATGAGTGACTTCAGCCATTTGTTCAATAACAACTCCTGGGCAAGCTCCCGTGAGAGAGTAAACATCCATCCACCCAGGGCACTGTCGTGGAACCCGTGTCTGCCAGGAGAGATAGGACAGCTCCTCTCGTGGCTGTCAGTCGAGGTGAGAGATAAATGCGGCTGGGAGGGGTGGGCCGAGAAGGTGCGTGGGGCTGGGAAGGGCCAAGGTGTCCAGCCAGGGGGTGGGGCTGCCTGGAAGAAGCGGTCCCCCGGGACAGGGCGTGGGGAGGGGACTCGGGAGAGCGTGCTGGCCCTGGAGGGACACTCTCTAGAAGGGGAGCTGGGAGCTGGAGGAGGGAGGTGGGGCTCTCCTTGTTGGGGCCCTGGATGCCCTGCTGAGGAGCATGTAGATAGGCGTCCTGGGGATCAGTGAGGAGTTTGTGAGCCTGAGTGACAGAGCAAAATTAACCCGGCTGTGAGGAGGGCGAGGTGGGCCGGCTCAGGCTCCTGCGCTGCGGTGGGAGGGGAGGCAGTGAGCAGCCCCGTGTTCTGGAATCCCCTCAGTCCTGGGCGGGTGGGATGCTGGTTACCCTGGGTGGGGGAGTCACTCTCTAAGAATCTGTTGCCTCTGCTGGGAGTCACCGCTCCCGGGGGGCCTCTCCCACCTCTGGGCCTGAGATTTCTTCACCTCCCAATCCCCTCCTCCCAGCGACCAGCGCACAGTAGGTGCCTTCCACAGGCATTGCATGGAGAAAGGAGCAGGCCCAGGCAGAGGACATGTGGTCTCCTGACACCCGTGGGGTTCTCAGTCACTCCAGGGAAGACGGCAGAGCGCCTGTGAGGGACATTTAGAGGGGGCACTGGCTTGGCAGGGCTCCCAGGACAGCCCAGCAGGTTATAGGCTCAGCGCCTACACTGTCCTCAGCAGTCTCTGGCTGCTGGGTCCAGCCGGTCCTCCCAGGGGCCTCCAGTGCCAGGCTAGGCCACGTCCAGGCAGTGGCCGACCTGGCTGGGGGAGGATGGCTTGTGTGTACGGGGGCTTCAAGGGCCACCATGAGATCACTGCCCTTCTCTTCCCCTTCCCTGTCCAGCCTTGGGGCTCAGGGCCTGTTGGGACCCTGCCTCTCGGCTTGGAGCCCTGCTCCTCTCCCATCCTGTGCAGAGAGGGAGGGTGGGCTTAGCTTGGGTTGCGCTTCAAGGGCCACCATGAGATCACTGCCCTTCTCTTCCCCTTCCCTGTCCAGCCTTGGGGCTCAGGGCCTGTTGGGACCCTGCCTCTCAGCTTGGAGCCCTGCTCCTCTCCCATCCTGTGCAGAGAGGGAGGGTGGGCTTAGCTTGGGTTGGGGTGTGGGAGGAGAAGGTGGGACCAGAGCAAGGCTGTCATGAGCATTAGCAGCCATGGCACCGATGTCCACTTTGTTCTGAGGCTCTCTGCACTGGGAAGCATGTGGCACTGTCTATGGAATTTTGGGTCTTTGTGAAACCTGCAAGTGGGCATTATTGGCCTCATTTTATGGGGAGGGAGTTGATGCATGGAGGAGTTGCCCTGTCCTGGTGACTCAGCCTGAAGGATGTGGCCTCTGTCTCCTGAAGACGACAGGGGCTGCTCCCTTCCCTGGGGCAGGCACCTCAGCTCGCTCTGTCATTCCAGAAACCTACCTTACATTAGATGCTTATGACATACCACCCTGGGGCAGGCACCTCAGCTTGCTCTGAGGCTTGGGGCAGGCACGGTCAGCAGAGCAGGGGCTGTTAAAAATGTTTCCAGAGCAAAGCCCAGAGTCTCAGTGAGCTGACCTGGTCTCATGGCCTCACCTACTAAACGTGATGAATTTCCCTGCTTTGTCCTTGCAGGCCAAGTGGGTGGGGGTGGCAAAGGGGATCCTTCGAAAGAGGAAAGAGGGCTGAGGCCTCCTGGGAGGAGATGCTTGACACACAGGCCACTGTGCCCAGGAACAGAAAGGATACCTACTTCTGGTCCCTCCCTGGGTGACTCCCTGCTGCCCAGTTTCCAGAAACATGGCAGTGTCCTCACCGGCATGCAGCTGGGGGCTTGGGCTTCTGGCCCCCCACATACCTGCACTGTTTCCAGAGGGACCCCTGGCTCCCTGCCATGGGGGAGAGGTGGGCAGAGGGAGGGGTGAGCAGGGATGAGCCTTAAACGTGAAGAGACCTGGCCCTTTCCCAGACCTCCTGAACCAGGAAGTCTATGGTTGGATGTTTTTGTTGTAAAGATTATGCTTAACAAGTACCACTGTAGCTAAATCTCTCACACATTTGATTATTTCCTGAGAATAAATGCCTCGAAGAGGAATTTCTGATCAAGGATTATGATCGTTTTATGCTTTGGCTTCAAAAAGAATTGAGTTGAAATCCTTCAAAAAGATTGGGCTAGACTCCAAGGAGGGGTCATTTGGGGACACTGGATGTTTCTCGTGGGGACATAAATGAGTGGGCTGCTATAGGTGAGGCTTGAGCTGCCAGATGGCAGCAGGAGGTGATAGGTGATTTCACAGTGCTGGGGGTGGGAAAATGGGAGGGTGCCGTGGGGACTTTTCCTGAGGTTCTGGCCCTGTCCCTCAGGCTAGGGTGGCATTGGCAAATTCCTATTGGTTGTAGATGACATGCCCAGAGTTAATCAGAGTCCCCAGCATTTACTGAGTGTCCCGTTGTTGGTGGGTCTTTTGGGCTTAAAGGACCTGGAGGAAGTGGGAGAGGTGAGGCCCGAGTGAGACAGTCTGTGGGGCTGGATAGTCCTGGGTGTGAGTCCCAACTTGGCCACCTGCGGGCCGTGTGGTCTTGGGCACAGCAGCAGGCCCTCCTGACCCGAGGGTCCTGAAACCTGGGGTATTGGTAGATAAATGGTATTGGCAGAGTGTGGGGCAGAGAGTCAGTGTCCTCCTTCCAGTACTGCAGGTACTGGCAACACTGTCGTGTGCCTCGGGTATGTAGGAGGAGCGGGGTGGGGACGTGAGACCACCTTCCAGCCACGACAGCGTGGTGCCTCGGATTCTTTTCCAGAAGAGACAGGATCATGTGGGCAACATGGGAATCAGGCGAGGTGCAGCCGCAGGCAGGGGAGTGAGGCTCTGCTTGGGCCACTTAATAACCTTGATGCGAAGGCTGCTGATAGACGGGGACATTAGCTCTGGGCCCATGGTGACCAGGGAAGGCTGGCAATGATGCCATGTGGAGACAGTGGCTCTGGAGCCAGGCTGTGCATGAGAATTGCCTGGGCATTGGCCAGGCCACACCTTAGACCAACATCAGAATCCCTATTCTTTTTTAAAATTGTGGTGAAATACACATCACTTAAAATTTACCATTTTAACTTTTTTCAATGTACAGTTCAGTAGTGTTAATTCACTAACATTGTTGTGCAACCAATCTGTGCAACTTTTGCAACTTCCCGAACTGAAACTGTCTCTATTAAACAACTCCCCATTCTTCCCTCCCCCAGCCCCTGGCGCCCACTGTCTCTATGACTGTGACTCCTCTTGGGATCTCATGTCTGTGGAATCATACAGAATTTGTCCCTATTGTGATGGGCTTATTCCACTTAGGAAAGTGTCCTCAGGGGTCACCAATGTTGTGGCATGTGTCAGGATTTCCTGCCTTTCTAAGGTTAAGTACTATTCCATTGTATGGATATATCACATTTTATCCACTCATCTGTCCAAGGGCACTTGGGTGTTTTCAGTTTCAGTATTTCTGAGGCTCCCAGGAGTTCCAGAGGTGGGGAGTCGTGGGCGGAGCTCACCCCTGGCACCTGGTCCTGCCCTGGTGCTCTCAACACGGCGCAGGAAGCACCCACTCTCCCCCCGCTTCAATCACTCCACAGGGTCTGCCAGGTCTGCACTCAGTGGTCCCATCCAGTGCACACGGGCCAGCCTCAGCACGGGCATCGGAGGGGCTTGCCTGTGGATCAGGATCACCAGCTCCCATTTGATGGGGGTCCTACTCCAGTCTGGTGTGTCAACGACCACACAAGAATGGGCCAGCAAGTCCCGGCCGGCTGGCCGTAGGGGCTGCGGCCTCCAGTCTCCCCCACCTCCTGCTGTGTCTGGTCCTCCTGAACCTGGCGGGGGTCTTCGCTCTCCTTCAAGTGCTGCCTCTGCGCTCTACTGAAGTCCTCCTCCCACATGAAGCCTTCACTCTAACTCGGGTGGGGGAACGGAAGGAGCCAAGGGAACCAAATCTCATTACACGTGGTTTGGCAACGTTGCAGTATTGAAATTGGGAGTATGCAGGAAAAGTCATTCGTTTGTTCACTAATGCATTCATTTATCTGATAGTTTGTGTCAGGCACTGGGCTGTAATTAGATTCAGACTGCTCGCTTCCTGGAAGGAATTTTGGGGAGCATTCATCTAATGCGGCATTAATTAATATTAATTAATTTATATTCCCTGCGGTACCCCTTGCTGCGTGGAACAGGTGGAACAGCCCCCCACCTTCGACCCACTCTCCCCGGGCTGCCCATAGCCCACGTCTGGGCTCCGGGGAAATACTAGAGGTGAGCCCCTGAGGCCCGACGCAGCAGTCCTGGGACCGGCACCGTGCACGGGGACACCTGAGGCACCAACCTGCCCCGGCCCCGCCCACCAGCCCCCGCGGGAGCCACGCCCCTTCCGTGTGGGCGGGGACGGGCCCGACCAACCAGAGTTCCCAGGAGCATGCAAATAAGGCTGCGCCCCCAGGAGCGCGTTTTCCCAGACTCCTCTGCTTCCTGCGTGGAGGAAAGACAGCGCGCGCCCCGAGGCCCGCGCCTGGACGTCGGCGCCCTTCTGTCTTCGGAGCGGCAGAGAGGCCGGAAGTGGAGGCCCCGAGGCCTAGCGCCAGGACACCGGAAGTCCGTTGAGGGACGCGCGCGCCGGCCGCAAGCCGCGCCCCCGACGCAAGCCGCGCCCCCGACGCGGCCCTCCTGTCCGCAGCGCCGGAAGGGGTCGCGGCGGCGCTGCTTCTGGCCGGCGGGGGGGCCCGCGCCGGGGGGCGGGGGCGCGGCGTCCGTCCCCCGGTGCGCGCGCGGGCGGGGCCGCTGGGAGTGCTGCGGAGCTGCCTTTGTGGCGGCCGCCCGGGCGGGGGGGCGGGCGCGG